GGTTTTTTTTTTGCTTTTCTGCCTGAACGGGTTCCTTGATTAAAAACAGTGGGCTAAATTCAGTTGCTAGTTCCAGTTAGAGTAGATTCATTGAGGAAGATCCGTCTTGCATCACACAGGGAGTATAATGGTCTGCTAGTGGTCTTATTTATGTGATCACCAGCTACTAGGACACTCCCATGCAATCCAGAGAGTAACCATTGGTTTCAGCAAGGGTTGGTCCTTTTCTGTGCAAGACACAGGAAAGCCTCACCAGTATGCAATTGCGCCATGGGAATGCGCCCATCAAAATCAATGGAAGTTACCTTTGCATTGATTAATATATCCCATTTCAATGGGTGTACTCAAGTTCGGACTAATATTGCATATAGTCCAATCACTTTATAGTATAATGATTGCTTTTACTATAAATGGAATAACCTGTTTTACAAAAATAATGCCATTCTTTATTAGACGTAATTTTGTTTTACTACCATATTTTTACTTTTTGTGTGTGTGATTTTTTAATTATACTAGCTCGTCATCTTAGATTCCTTTCTAAATTTTGTTCAGTTGTTATTACATTTCTGATCTGATTGTTGTTACGGAGGAATATTTATCATATTTTAACTGTACATATTATAAATTACATGATCCTTTTTGGAAATGTAGATTTGCAGATTTTTTAAAAAGTATCCAGTATTTTTTTCAGACAGGTTTTTACACCAATGTTAGCTGACGCCAACACTAGTCCTGTGTAGCAGCATTTCGTTGTTACTGATATGCTTATGCATCTTTTAGCTACTGTATCACTACTAGAGATTTTGCATGTACTAATCTATAAGACAATTACAACATTACGTTTGTAAGCATAAAAAATAATAACTTCTTCAGCTTGCAGTAAAAAGTGGGTTTTCAGAAGTCCGAAAAGCTACCACAGTATTATTGCTGATTACATGTTTTGTAAACAGAATGGCCATTTCACCAGGAAGTGAAAGAAATTTCACCATTTCTACCCATTTCACCAGGAAGTTTTGCCTAGGTAGGAGAAGGAAAACTCCGATTTCAAACCTCCACTGCCTTGTGGCTATATCCATTCATGGAAAAGGCTTCAGGAGTTAACCTCGAGGCAAAATCCGGAGCTGGAGTCCCGAAGGCAGCATGTGTTGTTCTGCCAACTCCTGCGACATTGCTGGAACCAGTTGTATTGGCTCTTGCCTTTCCATTGGATCATTTCAGCAATGTGGAGAGGGGGGATCTGCTGCTTGGGTAACAGCCTATCCTCCATATTACTTTACCCGGGCTTCATGCTCTGGAGAGGACACTCCTCGATTCAGAGCATGTTACTATAGTCTCTTGAGACTGAAGGATGCCTATGTAAACAGAATGGCAGTGTTTTCAATGAAAGAAAGGTGTGGGCAGCTGTAATATTTATCAAGAACACTGGTATATTTGGGGGTGCTTTGTGTCCAGTTTGACCATGTTGTTCTTCCAGCTTCAGTGCTGTGGAGTCCAAAACTACACCGACTGGATTGGAAGCCGGTGGTTCAATTCTACCTCCAAAAACAACAGCGTTCCCTTGAGCTGTTGCAAGCAAGACCTTCGTCAGAACTGCACAGGACTGTTGAGCGAGCCGAAGTTTCTCAATACTCAAGTAAGAGTGCACTGGGTTCAGCCGTTGTACAAGAAAAACAACTTTCTTGGCGACCTAGACTTGAATACTAGTATGAACCAACCCCAGGAGGTCTGTCAGTCATCTTTATTGGATGGGGAGTGAGGCCATGGGACAGAGACTGGGCATGGTCAAAACATAAGACACCCCTGCACATTGTGGGCTGATTTATAATAATTATACAGATGGCAGTATAATAGTCAGGAGTGCTTCAAACAGGTCTATGCTGTCTTGGGCAGAAATGCAAAGTGAGGCAGGATCTGGAATACAGTGATGCCTCACCAGACGAAAATAATTCATTCCGCGAGTCGTTTCGTATTGCGAAAATTTTGTCTTGCGAAGCGCAGTTTCCCATAGGAATGCATTGAAATTTAATTAATGCATTCCTATTCATCTTGCAAAACACAGCCATAGAAAAATTTGTCATGTGAGTCATGGAAAAATCGCAAAACACCTTCGTCTTGCGTGTTTTTCATTGTGCGAGGCGTTCGTCTTGCAAGGCATCACTGTAGATGTTTTATTTTTAAATTATTCAGTGGGGATTGACATTTAAAGACGCAGGGCATAGTACATGGCAGATAAAAAGATTCAGTAGAACAATTCTCAGTGCAGCTTCTTCTGAGAGCAACCAAGGCTTCCATCTAATAAACTGCTTGTTAAGAGCCATTTCTTCCTAGAAATGGCAAACTGCCTTCTAGTTTCTTTTTGTATCCCTGAGATTGTTGCTGCTCGCCTAAATTCACCTTAACTTTTCCTTACCTGGACCCGACCTTTCCTAGCCAAGCCCTATCGGCTCTTACTCCCTTTGCTCTAAAACTCCTGGTTTTGATTTGTCGCATCGTGCCTGAACTGTGATGGCCTGGGATGTCTTTGAGACATATTCAATCAACCTCTTTGCCACACTTCACTCCAGGCTATACTAGCTGGGGTGTTTTGAGAGTGGCAGTCCACAATACTAACACTCCCAAGCTTTGCTGTTCTCTGTATGGGCCAGTACTTGGGCGCCTGTTTTTGTACTATGGCTCCCAAAATTCTCCAGCCACCATGGTCAGCCATGCGGGTGGGGATCCTGGAAGTTCTGGAACATCCCCCCCCCAAATCACCTTAACTTTGTACGTACAGTTTAATTAATCTATGGAATCCACTGCACCAAGATGTGGTAACAACCACCAAGCTTAGTTGGCTTTAAAAGGGGTTAGATAAATTTAGAGAGAATAATGAATGTGAGCAATAAAGACTATGTGAAACCTTCATATGCTGGCAAGAAACTAGTTTATGGCTATTCTTATCATGTCTGTGGCCTTCCAGAACATGATAATCTGTTTGGCCTCAGTAGGAAATGGGATCGTGGGCAGATTGGTTTTTGGTTGGTTCCAGTGGGGCTGATTTTCTGTAGTTATCATCTCCTCCAGGTAGGTCTCTGTCCCTGTGACCCAAGGTTGTGGAATTTGTGGCCAGTCAGAGATCAGTGGATTACAACTCCCATCAGCTGTACCCATCACAGCTAGTTGTGACCGTTGCTGGGAGTTTCAGTCCAACCACCTCTCAAAGACTGTATGTTTCCCTGCTCTTGTTTGCCTTCCTGTCTGCATCCAATCCTCTTTCTTTGCTTGTCGACTTTTTCAAAAGTCCTGCTTCCCATTTCATCCCCTTCCAGCTAAGGTTGCCGTTTGCTATGGAGATTTATTTATATGCCACCTTTCTCCCCATAGGGGTCCCAGGGCAACTCAGAGCAACTAAACCTAAATCTACAAAGCAAACAACTATTAAACATATTATACAAATCATTAGATTAAAAGACAAGATATATGAGATATAGGAGGCCAGAAAAGTAAGCTCTGGTCATGCTTTCCCAGAGAATGTTAATTTCTTCTCCCATCCCCATACCATGGGTTTCACCTTACTCAAGCCACTGCGATAAAAACTCTAATTATTACAACTACCAGGTAAGATGAAACTGGCTAGTTTAAGGAATTCAGGAGGTTTACAATAAGGCGTTCTGACTCTGTTGCTGGTCAGCTCTGATGGTGAACGTTCATTATTGCCACAAACATCATGTTAATGTTTTGTTCTTGAGTGAGAGGTAAACCATTCACCACAATGTCTGTTTTCCTGCAGGGCTGTGAAGGCAAAGTGGAATCTGCTCTGCAGAGCGTCCTTAGCTATGCCATGGTGGTCATCCTTGCATTTGCCATTGTAAAGGTATTTTATTCACAAAGTTTAGATACACATTTGAAACATTTAAACTAACAAAACAAGAGGGACAGGTATCCTGAACAAACAGTTGAAAGTGAAAAAAAGCTAGAAGAGATTATGGAGGGTGGAGACAATTCAGTTGTGGTTACCTGCAAAAGTTTGTGCTATGTCTGCCTTTGTTCCTGAGTGCAAAATGCTGTATACCTGTATCAAGTGTAAACTGGTGGCACTGTTAGAAGAGAAAGTCAGAGACCTGGAGCAGCGAGTAGCCACAGAGAAGATGAAACCTACATTGATAGAACTCTTGAGCAGCAGCAGCCGTCAGAGGGGGCACTGCTGATGGGAGAAAAACAAAACACTGCAGTAGAGGAAAAGGCTGTAGAGGTTACAAACATAGTGGAGGAACCACCATGGAAAAGAATCACAGTTAGGAGCAAAAGGAGGAGAAAACACTCACTCTTTCCCGGTGGAACTACAGAACCGCTTTCAATTAACTGAAGAAGAGTCGCAATAGCAATCGGAAAACAATGTTTTAATAGGGAAAAATCACTTGACGATGATTAGTTCCCTGCTTCGGGAACCGATTTTTTCACTTAACGACGATCAAAACAGCTGATCGTCGGGTCTTCAAAATGGCTGCACGCTGTGCAAAAAGGCTCCCCAGTATGTTTTAGGACAGTTTCCTCACTATACAGGGACCGGAAAATGGCCGCCGTATGGAGGATCTTTGCTGGACGCTGAGGTATTTCGCCCATTGGAACACATTAAACCGGTTTTCAATGCATTTCAATGGGTTTTTTACTTTCGCTTGACAACTATTTCATTCTACAGCGATTTTGCTGGAACGGATTATCCTCGTCAAGCGAGGCACCACTGTATAAGAACATTTGCTTCCATCTTCTCCCCAGCCTGAATCCTTACAATGACCCAGTGTGGTTGAAAAACAGTGTGAATGACCCAATGCCATCCCCCAATTAACTGTATGGCTTAGTGGGGACCAAAATCAGGATCTCCCTGTTCCCAGTGCACCATCCTAGCTACGTCAACATGATGGTTGTAATCCCATCACTTAATATAGTAAGTTGCAACTAGAGCAGGTCCATTAGACCAGTTGAACTTACAAAGTTGACTCATCAAGTCCCCACTGATTCAGTGGGTCTACTCTAGCTGTGATATTTCTATGATGAGCAACAGGATTTCAGCCACTGGCTCTCTGTGGTTATCCTGCCTTTGCGTGGATTTCTTCCAAACAACAAACACACCTGAGCAGCTTTGCTTAGCTCGTGATGCTGCTGTATTTATCAAAAGAGGGGTGTGAGCGACATTCATGGCCCCATCCAGTGCTACACAAGTGGGTGGCTTGGGAAGGTGTGTGGTCCTTTGCTCAGTTCCAAGCATCAAATGCAAGATTAAGTCTCCTTCGACTTCTGCTTTACTGTTAATCAGAGTACATCTTAGAGCAGAAAAAACAACACTGCCATCTGCAGTGAGGACATAGCTATACAGTGGTTTTTAGTGTACTTTACTATTTCTTAATTAAAAGCAATAAATAATAATAATTGCATGTTGTCACAATTTCCAGGGGTTTTTTTAGGTACAGAATATTTTACTTTTCTCTTCTTTTGTGGATGCCCTGGGATTGTGCAGCTTGCCCAAGGCCACACAGGATGGCTCTTGTCTTGGGAGGCACCGGGAGGAACTGAACTCTCAACTGCTGGCTCCTAAGCCACTGAGCTATCCAGCCAGCCTCAATTAATGGGGCAGCAATCCATGAAGGGGCAATTAATGGTAACAGTCCCTAAAAAGAAGCTAGAGTGAGGCTAAAAGGTGAACTATTAGAATGGCATTGGAAAAAAAAAATTTAAAGGCTGCTAAAGAAGCTTTCGTACATCAAGGTATAGGATCAATGTTTGAACTGCAAAGTTGTCTCGAGTATGAACTTGAATACCTTAAAAAATTCTGACCCTTAACTAAAGTACTGATCATTGTTTTCCCATTTCAGTTCTTTGGAATGTTCAGCGTCTGCGTCCTGGCCTGCAAGAGAAATGACAATGGTTACCAACCGTTTCACTCTTCTGAATTCGCCTGAAAAGAAGTTGGAAAGTGATTTTTCTTTTCCTCTTACTTATTAAAATGGACTTGAAAAAGATGTCTTGAACAGAAAATATCTGCCTGCTTTTACAAAAATGCCAAAGGAGTTTGCAGTAGGTTTCAGACGTTTGTTAAATGCGAAATGATATGGCCTTAACATACTGGTTCAGCCTGAGGTTCTCTGATATAATTGAATTAAAACTGATCCATTTACAAAGCTTGGAAATGATAGTTTTTGGACTAGAACTCTCAGAATTCTCTTAGCCATGTTGACAGAGCTAATTATGGGAGATGCATTTCAAACCAGTAGCTTTTTCAAAGCTCTGTACCTTTGCCCTGTTTATTTACAACTAACAGATGTCAGTCAACTATGAGTCACAGATCATCTCATTCAATTCACCACAAGCCTTTCAGCCACCATTTGGTGACCCACAGCGTAAAACACAATAGCACTGTGCATCTCTAGATTCACAGCTCACAAGTCCCAAGATCCTTAAATCAGCCAACTGACCTGTCTAAATTCACATTTAGCCATGCTTCAAACCGTCAGAGGAATGTGCAGGTAAGGGGAGCTTCTGGGTAGACTGGGTTTATTGGGAGAACAATCCACAACTCACTGTTTGTATTGGGTGTTGTTTATAATTTTATTAAGCACATGATGCAACTTTTAACTTCATTAGCAGGTGAAGCTTGCCTGCATCCTACATTAAGATTGTATTGAGAAACAGTTGCCTGAATGAACACAGCAATGAGGGTATCCTCAATGCAGAAATGCTGTTTCACAAGTTATACCTCATGAGGATGATGACATCTGCTGTGGTGATTTTTCACAAATAAAAATGCATGATTCCCACCTCAAAAGTCCCAAAGCTTCCATGAGCTCTTTCCTCATGGTGAAACCACAGAGGACTTAAGAGACAGTCTTTTAATTTCTTAAAATCACAGCCATCCAGTAAAGTAATCCCCATGGTGATGACTTTTTTTGGAAAGACTCCCACACATATCCTATGGTCCACAATGGCTGCCCCATGGCATTACTGTTGGGGTTGGGGATTGGAAATGTTTTTTAAAAAAACACCATGGCTGATGATGACTTTAGCCTTATGGGGTATAGCTGTGCAAACAGCTGGGTTTGTTTCTGCTGTGCCTTATTTAACGGATTTGTGTTGCGTGCTTCTGTTCATGCTTTTGTGAGCAAATGAGCTATTTAAATAGCAGACAGCCTGAAGAAAAATAAAATAACTTTGTCTTCTAAATGGTTTTGCTTTGATGTCTTGAAGGGAGCAAAGATATTTGAATTAAAGAGAAACTATAAGTAAAATCTTTCTTAAAATGTAGTTTTGTAGTCTTCTATACCGCACAACACTGGCAGAAAGTGGTTGTAGGACAGTGAAGCTCCTCTATAAAAGAAAAGTCATCTTTTAAGACCAAGAGAAAGTTAGATTGACAAATATGTGCTCCTCCCTCTACGCTTGAAGAAGAAAAAAGTCCCAGGATAGGACTGCTGGGGTTTAAGTTTCTTTGGAGAAAATAGCCTTGGGAGAATTTGGTAACATTTCATTTATTTACAAACAAAACATCGTCATCATGAGCTGTAGGCATTTGTCAACTTCTGAGAGGGAGGGAGAGATTGACTTCTATCCCAGCAGTAGGCAGAAGACAAATTAGTTGTCTCAAGACAGTTTCAACTTTAAGTGACTAGTTCCAGGATTTCCTAGGTACAGAGTACTCAGAAGGAGTTTACCCTTCCCTTCTTCTGGGGACACCCTGGGACTGTGCAGCTTGCCCAAGGATACACAGGCTGGCTCTTCTCTCTGGAGGCACAGGGGGGAATCGAACTCCCAACTTCTGGCTCCACAGATACCTAATTTATTGCCACCTAGGCAAAGAGTTAAAAAGCTGTATTCAGCTTTTTAACTCTTTGCCTAAGTGGCAGTAAATTAGGTATCTGATTGTGGAGCCAGAAGTTGGGTATTCAGCTTTTTAACTCTTTGCCTAGGTGGCATATATAGGTGCCATATAAATTATCTCCCCATAGGGGAAACAAGGCAGATTACAACAACTGAAATTACAAAAGCTATCAAGTTTCCCTTTTAATGGATTCTGCGCTACCTCTGCAGTCTTTAAAGAAAAAAAAACTAGAAATGGGCTTCGGCCCACTTCCAGTTTTGCTTTGGAGTTTTGTCCGTGTGTGTGATTTTTGGTAGATTGCAAAGGCCCAAGAAGGTCCTGGCAACGGAAGATTTGCCTTGAACCCATCAAAACTATTTCTGGTTGTTTCCAAGTCATCCTGTGGGCATCTCATGCCAGACTGGTGGCAAAGCAAGGAGCCTTCCTTTTTAAAAGTAACCTTGTCACTATTGGAAAGTAATCCAGTGCTCTTACTTGATATTATTTAAAAGAAGTACATATTTAATTTATCTTCACTTGGTCAGTGGAAGATGTATAAACATAAGAGGGCGTGTATTCACTTTCTTTCTGTCTGAAGAAGAATGTTGTTTTACCCTATTCCACTGCTCATCAATTCCCCCCCCCAGGGGTGGTTGTAGGTTTTTGGGGCTTTTTGGGCATGTTCTGAAGGCTTTTCTTCCTAATGTTTTGCCAGTCTCTGTGGCCGGCATCTTCAGAGGACAGGAGTTGGACCTCCCGGCCTTGAAAGCGTTCAAAAACACATTTCCCCCCAGTTTTTCGTTTGTGTATTTAGAACTTATGAGAGTGACCCAGATCTTGCAAAAAAAAAAATCCTTTTAAAATCCTTTAAAAATACTGTTTGGATGTACCTAAAAATGCACTGACCTTACCAGTTACGTAACTTTAATCCCATACATTAGGCTTTACTTTGGGAATGGAACTGCTCCCTTGCTACTAAAACGTAACAAATTCCAGATCACTAAGTTACTTTCACACTTTGCACGCAAGCAGTGTAGTCTTTAAACACCCCCCTTCTTTTTTAAAAAACTATTTTAAAACCACGTTTTTCCTCTCCTAAAATAGAATTTGAACGTTCACAACGAAATGCATCTATTTTTTTGGAGTGGGAGCAACAAGAAAAGGCGAAGGGTTACCAAATTACTCAAAAGATCAACCTCTTAAAACTTGCTGCCCGCACTCCCATCTAAGCTGTTATCTGGGGGAAACGGACCACTTTAAAGAAAGATTAAGAGCCAAGGCTGTCCAAAATAACCCTGAAATCACGTCTGCAAACAAAGGAACTAGGACGAAACTTCCAATCTTTCTTGGCGTTCCCTGTTCCCCGTCCTAGTGTATAGAGTTAGAAGCAGGCACGCTCCCACCCACCCCCCACTTCCGATTCTCATCCTAAAGACGCCATAAAGGGGGCAGGAGAGACAGGCGTGGCTTGGGAGCCAAACTTCCGGCAGAAATTGCCCATGGCTTCCTATGGGCGCTCTAGGCCTTTGCACCTTTTTGGTTGAAACCCTTTGGTGTACCTTGCTTTGTTGAGGCAAAATCTAAAACAAAGACAAAAACGTTTGGCACCTTGTAGCATCTTTCAGTCTCGAGAGACTATGGTCACGTGCTCTGTGTGGAGGACTTGGAACACCGTCTAGTGTGGCTGAAGAGGCCAATTCAAGAGGGACCATCCCTTCCACACTGAAGACAAATCCAATCGGTCCCCTTAAAGAATATTATATTTTAATGTGAGCTTTGGTGGACAAAAACCTTCACCACCAACTGTGCTGGCTGGGGTTTCTGGGAGTTGCAGTTCAAAAATATCCGAATAACAAAGGTTAAGAACCATTGCCTTAAAGAATATTGTATTTTAATGTGAGCTTTAGTGGACGAGTCCACTTCGTTCGACAAACAGGGGGAAAAAATGAAGGTGCCACATGATTTTGTCTTTTTTTCTTCTGTTTTATAACAAAGGTTAAGAACCATTGCCTTAAAGAATATTGTATTTTAATGTGAGCTTTAGTGGACGAGTCCACTTCGTTCGACAAACAGGGGGAAAAAATGAAGGTGCCACATGATTTTGTCTTTTTTTCTTCTGTTTTGGTTCGACAAACAGGGGGGAAAAAATGAAGGTGCCGCATGATTTTGTCTTTTTTTCTTCTGTTTTGTTTCTGAGGGTTTTGCCGCGGATCTGCTTTGCACGGAATAACCAGCTAGCTCTTCCAAAATTGCCTTTTTAAAGTCCGCGTGACTTTAAAGCCGGAACGGTTAGGGAATTGAAGGGGCTGCCTGGGCGGTTTCTTGAGTCTGGGGCTTAAATGCAACGTATTGTGATATTGGTCTTTAAGGTGCCTGTACGGACAGACAGACAGACAGACAGACAGACAGACAGACAGACAGATAGATAGGGGGGCTGCCTGGGGCGGTTTCTTGAGTCTGGGGCTTAAATACAACTTATTGTTATATTAGTCTTTAAGGTGCCTGTACGTTTAGATAGATAGACAGACAGACAGACAGACGTACTGGCTCCTTAAAGACTAGCTTATTAAAGACTAATATAACAATATATTATAATTTTTTTGTTTTGCTTTCCTAGGCGGGGTGACTCTTCTTCCTGCCTTTGCCAAGCGCTTGGGGTACTGGCTCCTTAAAGACTAATATAACAATATATTATTATTATTTGTTTTGCTTTCCTAGGCGGGGTGACCCTTCTTCCTGCCTTTGCCAAGCGCTTGGGGCCACCATAGGCTATATTTGTTCCTCCCTCACCCCAAGCAGAGGAGATTCCCATTCTGCTTTTTTTAAAAAAATAAGTCTTTTTTGTGCATACGACTCTACATTTCTATCTCTATAGATCCCTATCGGCCATTCTAGTTTCCTTTCCCTTCTACGGGCGGATGTAGCTGGAGCAAGCTGGGTTTTTTTTTCCGGCCGCGAGGTGCGTGTGTTCACGCGAGATTTGGTATCAAAGAACCAGTGCGGCGGGTGATTTGAATACAGAGAGCGTCTGTTCTTCCGGGCGGTCGGTCGGTCGGGCGTTTATCTATCTGTGCAAATTGACCCTGGCTATGGAAGGGGAAAGGGAGACCTATGGAGCGCAGGCGGATGCAGGTGCCATTGTTTCTTCTTAATCCCTTTGCTCCTTTTGTTGTTGTTGTTGTTATTTTGTTGTTTTCCTTTATGTGCTGCTCTGCCTGCACACCCCAGTATAGAGAGAGCTGTTATCATCCTCTTAGAATTGCACAGCTGGAAGGGACCCTATGGATCATTGGAGTCGCAGTGGGGGGATTTGAACTCTGAACCTCTGGCTCTGCAGCCATTGGCCCAAACCACTGACCTTTCCAGCAGTTATAACCAATAACAAACGAACAACAATCAAAATAATAAAAATCCTTCACCTGAATGATAAAAGCGGCAAAGAAAAATGAGCCACAACCTGAATGCCACCAAGCATTTTTCCTCTTTTATACCTTACCATGTTCTTCTTATTAGGGGATTAAAAAGCAAGCAGGAAGAAGAAAGGTAAGGATCCAAGTTTGGATTTGGTTAAATTGTTTTTTATTATGAACTGCAGGGATAATATTAAATATTCAGCTTAATTTAGGTTGTTATAATCCTTAAAGTAATCATGCAAAAAAAAGTTATTTTGCAAACCACAGGTGGCATCTGAGGCTCAGTGGCTTATGTTGGACTGCTTAGCGAGTTCGTGGTTGAAGTGAGTTCGGTAGCTCAGCCACTGCATTACTTTTATTCTTGTATATAATGTTTGGAGTAGGGGGTGTGCATGGTTTCCATGGCAATTGTCCTAACGGCGTTACCGTCCAAGCATATATCTTTTTTCTTTTACACGCATGCATCCAATCAGTTCCCGTTTCCAAAGCATGTCTAAAGAAGCTATATGTATATTGTACTTGTAGGCTGGAGAGCGAGGTTTGATTCTCCCCACCCAACAACAAATACACGTAGAATGGAAGCATGCCTTATGTGCTTGCAACTCTATAATCTTTCATTGGAATGGGTGCCACATCAAAGGGGAAAAATTTAATGAATCATTTTGGAGACACTATGTGCTAAATCCAAGAGGTGCAATTATAATTATGTTTTAACTAGTTTGACTTTCAGTTATAATCTTTTTTAACAAGTTTGCCACTTCGGCCTTACTAATGCTTCTGGCTTAGGGGGCTAGATATTTCTAGCCTCTATTCAAAGTTTGCTAACATTTTTTGTCTTAGAAAGTACTTATAGAATACTTATGTTTTCCCTCTGTGAAAAGTGTCAACTCATATAGCCTTTGTAATGGAATATATTAACCTGTTCTTCATTTTAACACAGGAAAACACAACATGGCCTGTTCAGATTTAAATGACTTATGTGCTCATCTCAACACCAAGATTTCAAATATCAAGAAGTCACTTCAGTTGAGAAAGATAGGTAAGCTGGCTTAGTACTGTACTGTATATGTTAATTTCAGTGTTAATACACCAATAATATATTCTGAGTTTCTTGAAGACTTGTGGTTTCATCAGTACACTCTTCTCTTATGCATATTTCAGCTATTTTATTTATTTAAAATATTTTGACCCTGCCTTTCTCCTTAAAAAAGGACCTAAGGAAGCTTACATTATTAAAAAAGAATACTTAAAAGCTGAAAACAGTAAGTGTACAAATATTTAAAAAGAATTAAGCAAATAAAATCGACACTAAAAATATATTTAAAAGCAACATGGCACAACAATTCAGCTGTTCTATGCACAGTTGCTTTGGTCATTTTCTCATCTGGTGTTCCTCCTTCTGGTAATGATCCTCTCCATTAGCTTGGTCCCCTAATGGCAGAAATACAGATTTGTGCAAGCAGCGTGTTTCACAGGGAAAAGGTCCTTTTATGAGCATCAGCTAAAGTGGAACAGAGTTTTGAAAGATGCTGGCTAGAGGCTTCTGGAGCTGTAGTCCCAAAAAAAAGTAACACTTCCAAGCTGAGGACTGGGAAGCATCTTGGTTATTGGGAAATTAATCCATCATGGTGGTTGTTGTGAAGCATGATTTTGAGTAATGAGAATGGAGACTTTGGAAAGCAGGAATGCAGACAATCTCTTGCAATATTAGGCCACTGTTTGTATTTTGATTTTCTTTTCCATTTCTATGACTTGCTTCCCTTGTTTGCCAGACCAGGAACCATCTTTGAAGACAGTTCTTAGTAAGGTAGTCCATGAGATGTTTCTCTTAAACAACCTCCTCAACAAGGTGGAGCTGGAATGTCACCATCAGGAGAGGCAACTCCATCAACTCAAGGTAAGCAACGCTGAAAACGTATTGTAAGTGATCTCTGAGACATGTACACGTAAGTGATTTCCAAGCTTGCATGAATAAGTTTGCAGTGATCTCTGAGACATGTACACTTAAATGATTTCCAAGCTTGCATGAATAAGTTTGCATCAAGAAACTGTGAGAACTTTATTGCCTGTTATGTGAGGGTGCTGCATAATATTAAAATTATTTTAACATGAGTACTGGTAGGATGATTTGCTCCTTGATTTTGAGGAATATGCTACAGTGGTGCCTCGCAAGACAATTGTAATTCGTTCTGCGAGAAGCGCTGTATTGCGAAAAAATCATCTTGCGAAAAGCAGCTTGTGAAAAGCTCGCAAGACAAATGACATTTTTTCGTCTTGCAAGGCATCAGTCTTGGGGGGGTCGTCTTGTGAAGCACGGCCATAGAAGCCGTCTTGCGAGGCACCATAGCGATTGAAAAAACCATTCGTCTTGCTTTTTTTTTTCTGTCCGGCAAGGCGTTTGTCTTGCGAGACACCACTGTATTTGTAAGATATTTCTGTATGCAGCAGGAAGTCAGGCAAGGCATTTGTCTTGCAAGGCATCACTGTATTTATAAGATATTTCTGTATGCAGCAGGAAGTCAATGAAGAACATCTGAATAAAGTATTTTCAATGTGGTGCTCTGCCCTAGCAATGGTGGTATCCTATATGGAGTAGAACCATTGCACTGCAAGGCTTTACCTCTTCAGTTTCACTTGTTCTGTGTTCTGTATTTGCTGGGCCAGCCTTCACTGGAATTTCATCTTAATCATGTTTTGCATTAATAAAATGAAGTGTTGACGTCTTGAGATTTTTGACTCCTCCTGAGGCTTGGCAACTGATTAAAGCAAGTTTTTGTGTTGATTCTTCCCAAACCATGCCTCAGTTCCAAGACCCTCTGCAGCCCTGGTAACAAGCTCCCCACCCCACCCCCACCCCACCCCTTTAGAAGAAGTGCTGATGAATCTCAGCTCAGTGAGTGTAAAACAAAGGCCATCTAGGAACTAGTTCTGGATGAGCTTCCTGATCTGGCTTTTATTGTGGAGACTAGGCTGGGTGAGACGAGAGAGGATGTCTCCTAGTTTTGTTGCAGCGCTCCCTCAAGTCTATCGCCGGCCTCTCTTCTCAGACTAGTCTGGTTGACCTCTGGGATGGCGCTAGGCACTCTTTCATTTGTTCTGCTGGGGGGGATTCCACATACAGTAACATATTGAGGCTGTCCTGCTGGCTGTGACTCAGGAGTTCACAGCATCCATGGCAACCTTGGGTCTTTCCCAGTTGACATCTGGCTATTTTCATTTGGCAGGCCACTCTGTTCTTCTTTCGTTCCCTGGGTAGAATAGTAGACTTGGAGCCATTTTCTATGTACAGTGGTGCCCCGCTTGATGCTTACCCACATACAGTAACATATTGAGGCTGTCCTGCTGGCTGTGACTCAGGAGTTCACAGCATCCATGGCAACCTTGGGTCTTTCCCAGTTGACATCTGGCTATTTTCATTTGGCAGGCCACTCTGTTCTTCTTTCGTTCCCTGGGTAGAATAGTAGACTTGGAGCCATTTTCTATGTACAGTGGTGCCCCGCTTGATGCTTACCCCGCATGATGCTGGTTCTTCTTTCGTTCCCTGGGTGGAATAGTAGACTTGGAGCCACTTTCTATGTACAGTGGTGCCCCACTTGATGCTTACCCCGCATGACGTCGAAATCGCTTAACGATGGTTTTTTGCGATCGCAAAACGATGGTTCTGCATTACGTTGATTAGGAGCATGCTTCGCGAAATGTTTGTTTGCTATATGATGATTTTTCCGGTTCCGCAAAATGGCTTCACTCCCTTTGCAAAATGGCTGCTTTCCGGACGTCTACTTCGCATTACAGCGATTTTTAACAGCTGATTGGCTGTTCTCTATGGGCAATCTTTGCTGGACGATGAGGTATTTCCCCATTGGAACGCATTGACCAGTTTTCAATAGTTTTTTTTTCTTGCTTGACGTCGATTTCACTTAACATCGATTTTCCTGGAATGGATTATCATTGTCAAGCGGGGCACCACTGTACAGTAATTACTTTGCTAGGGTTGGATTTGGTAAGGTTTAAACTTAACTGTGTTTTGGAGTCTGTGCTGGACCAGCAACCTAGGCCAGGAAGCCGATGGATTTAAATGATTTTATTACAACTCTTGGGGATTTTGACAAGCAGTTATTGCATCTGGAATGAGGAAATGGCCAAGTAGCTGATACAATCCCTTTTGAGTTCCCCCTGCTCACAAAAAGCAAAATTGTACAAGTGCTCTGGTTTTCTATGGGCTGACTGTCATGGGCAGTGTCAAGACCTATGGGAGTAGCAAGTTCAGAGCCTAATCAGGTTAGAGGAGAGCTCATTTGATAGCCTAGTCCATCAGGGTCAAGCAAGAAATCTTCTCTGCCACCACCTTTGAAGCCATAGAATCATCGGCTTGAGCTTTTTCAGATGATTGGAGAGCCATGACTTTGGTGAGAGGTAAGATAGACAGGAAATAAGGTAAACAAATGATGTGTGAATTAAATGGAAAGTTATCAATAACTGCTCATACTTAGCCTGGTGGATGGTTCTAAGCACACTTTGGCAGTAATGTCTTTTCTCCACAGCCACTTGATGGCTCCATCTGAAATTGTATCATGCTTAGAGATTAATCAGGGACATTGTGTATGGTCACGGAAGCAATCAGCTGGTCCACTCAACAGTTGTCATTTTTATTTGTTGTTTTTCTACTCTGCCTTTCTTTCAGTATGGGACTCAAAGTGGCTTAGGGATTAGTTAAAAATAGATACCTCTAATAGGGACATGGTGGCACTGTGGATTAAATCGCAGAACCCTCTGTGCTGCAAGGTCGGAAGACCAGCTGCCGTAAGATCGAATCCACACAGCGGAGTGAGCTCCCGTCGCTTGTCTCAGCTCCTGCCAAGCTAGCCATTTGAAAGCATGTAAAAATGCGAGTAGATAAATAGGTACCACCTCAGTAGGAAGGTCACGGCATTCCGTGTCTAGTCGCGCTGGCCACGTGACCACGGAAACTGTCTTCGGACAAACGCTGGCTCTATGGCTTGGAGACAGGGATGAGCACCACACCCTAGAGTCAGACATGACTGGACTAAATGTCAAGGGGATCCTTTACCTTACAAGCAGTGCACAAGTCCTGTGATCCAAGTAATATTAATCTTCCATTAAACACATTGTGTTATTAAATAATAATTACTGTTATGTGCTGTCAAGTTGATTCTGACTTAACGGTAACCCTCCCAGGGTTTGGGGGTAAGAAGTACTCAGAATTGGTTTACCAGTCCCTGCTGTTGATGCTATGGGGCCTTTCATCTAGCCCGAGGCTGTAGAGGTAGTAGGGAAAGTAATCCCATCAACCACAGATCCCTCCCATGAGGCAGGATAGGATTTCAAACTCCTGACCCATTATTGCGCAATCAAGTGCTCCAGCCCACTAAAAATTGAATGTCCTATTAAAAAGCCACTGAAATAAAACATTTTCTTAAATTAAAACACACACAATTGTTTTTTAAAAAGTAAACAGTACAGTATCCCCGTTAAAAGCCTGCTCCTAACTTACCTGTTCACTTCATAAAGCGATTTCGATCCATGTTGTTATGGCTTTTGGCCCCTGCAATGAAGTCGGCAGTATTTTTAATCACAGGAGCTGCAAGAAACTCTAGAAAGGGACTATAACGAAGCCCGGCACCTTGGAGAAAACATGCCAATTCACCTTCCGAAAGCCAACCCAAGCAGGTATGTTTCCTGCTATATGGCAGAGATCACTGTGGTGTGTACACCATGATAGACAGTCTGGTATCCTCCAGTTCTGTTGGACCCTGATTTTTATAATCCTTGACGTTGGTCTTGTTGACTGGGATTGATGGGAGCTCTCGTCCAAAACCTCTTGGAGAGCGTTGAGTCTCTACTCTAAGCAGAATCTGTCAACACTTTGTAATCAATGTGCTATTCCAGGGATGTTCTATTCTAAGTACCGTAATAGAACAGTTTTAAGATGAAATGGCCCTGTAGCTTTCATGTCACAGTACTCCCCAATCTAATTTATACAAACTATCTTGATCTGTACTGTGAAGCTAAGTACTGGAATGTGCTTTTCTGTGCACTGTAATTCTCCAGTGGTATAATTTGTACACTTCTTTTAAGTCCATCCAGATGTTCTGGGGATGAACATCTGAGAACCAGAGTTGATTCAGCCGCAGCCAGAACAAAATTCTGCTCTCGCGGAGCAAAAGTAAAACCCTCCCAAGGGCTAGAACGTTGATGTTTGAAGAGGAAAACAGAACTCAGATCCTTAGGATACCGAACTGTGCTGTTGAGTATCTGTCTCTATGTTGGTTTGGTGTAATGGCAGATTGCACATAGCCCTGATTACACTGCACTGTTCTAGCCATCCACTTGAATTCTTTTCAGCCTGATTCAGTGTGAAGGATCTGGTGTCCTTGTCACAGATTTAATTGAAGAATCATCGTGGGATACCAGTTTTGATTCCACAGTTTTCATTGGCATGTACTGCAGTGAGAACTGTTCGGAATACAGTCATGCCCCGCTTAATGATTATCCCGTATAGTGCCGAATCTGCTTCAGAACGATGCTTTTGCGATCACAACTGCGATCGCAAAACTATGTTTTAATGGGGTTTTTTCGCTTTGTGACGATCAGTTCCCTGCTTCGGGAACCGATTCTTCGCATTACGATGATCAAAACAGCTGATCGTCGGATTGTCAAAATGGCCGCTGGCTGCTCAAAATGTCTCCCCGCTGTTTTTAGGAGGCATTTTTTGCACTACAGGCACCAAAAATAGCTGCCCCTATGGAGGATCTTTGCTGGACGAGCAGGTATTCAGCCCATTGGAATGCATTGAACGGTTTTCAATTCATTTCAATTGGCTTTTTTATTTCGCTTGACGTTTTCGCTCTACAGCGATTTCGCTGGAACGAATTAACGTTGTCAAGCAAGGCACCACTGTACAGGTTTAGGAAAGGATTTATAGAAACATCTGGAAATCTTGTTTGTACAACTTGAGGCAAAAGACGGGGGGGGGGGGAGCCATTCCCATCTCTATTTCCTTTCATTAAAATGTAATGTGGTACAAAGCAGGGCATCTGATAAAGTGGGTTATAGTCCAAGAGACACATCTGCTATGCTGTATTTGCTTGTCTTTGACCTTGTGAAGACTTTGGCGTTTCGGATTTTCCATTTTAAGCTTTGGCCGGAATCCTCCTGCTGTTCGCACAAGCTTTGCGTAACGTGCTGCAGGTACAGTAGGACCCCTGTATCCACGGGATCAATATCCACTGATTCCCTTATCCAGGGTCTGAGAATATTAAAAGAAAAATCCCCAAAATACTGTATACAGTATATTTCTACTGAGGATGTTCCCAGAACTGACCACTGGAGGGAGCTAGAGACTATGCTGTGTATAGTGTTCACTATAGAAATACGTTTTTATGTTATTTCCAGAACTAAAGGAAGCCAGAGAACATGCCATTATGTATAGCATTTGCTTTAATCTCTGTTTTTTAACATCTGGGGATGGGGGCCGGAACCAATCCCCAGCGGATGTGGGGGTTACTGTAATTGATAATGAACAAGAATTATGATCTTGGTTCTGCAGTTGGGCATGTGACCAAGCACATGAAAGAGGTGTGTCTCGGCACCTCGTCAGTTAGCCACAATTAGCCATGGCATGCTATGCAAACATTTCATGAATAGCAGTAGGTTTCTGGTTATTGGACCCAAGTAGTGAAGTCATCATTAAGGTTTGAAATTGTGTTTGTATCAGAGAAGAATATCAAGTGTGCTTGTGGCTGCCTTTGTGATAGATGTTGTGTGTCCATTTCTCTGATTGGCTTGCAGTGCTATGAGCATAATTGTAAAGAATGAGCAAACCAAAGACGCTGAAGTAGCGCATGTAAAGAAGCAGGCAAAAGAGGCCAAGCGCATTAAGGAAGCATCCTTCATAACATCAGAAGAGTTTGAGAGTGTTCCTGCGTAAGTAAATGATTTCTCCTTAACGAGGAGGGGGGAAGGTTCTCTATTTCGATATCACTGGAGCAAAGATCCTTTCATCATGCAAGTCAAATTCTCATATAATGTAAGCTTTGGAAGGGTACAGGTTACAGAGCCGAGGATACAGTGAGAAGGCCAAAAGTAAAGTCACTGAGTCTAAATGTAATTTTGACCAGTGTGGAGATCATCTGTCCATCTGATTTGGAATTCTCAGAATGGTTCAGGTGGGAAAGATGCCGTCATTTTATTCAGTCCATGATGCAGGAAATCTGCAGTGAAGCATCACTGACAGACGCCCACCCAAACTCTGTTCAAAACCCTCCACCTCCCATCACTTTCTACAATCTGTTCTACTATCAAACAGCTCTTCCTATGAGATAATTCTTCCCAGTTTTTAGTCATATCTCCTTTTTTTAATCCGTTGGTTCAGGTTTCCAGAAGAGTAGGAAAAGAAGGCTACCTCCATTTTCCACATTACAGCTGCTGAGATATTTAAAGATGATCATTATGTCATCTCTTAATCTTTTCTCCAGCCTGCAGGTGCCTAGATCTCTTCCTCATAGGATGTGGTTTCCAGACCATTTTCCAGTTTTGTCACCCTGTAGTCATGTTTCACCTTGTTGATATCCATCTTAAACTGTGGTACACAGTTCGATAGCATACAGAGCACAGTTCAGTTCTCTCCATGTCTGTCCATATGGTATTTACATTTTACCCCCTGCATGGAAATTGGACATTTTGCTTCTTCATATTCCGTCCTAACAATAGGCTTTAGTCCAGAATATATACATTAGGAAAATCAAGTGTTGTGCTACACAGTTTCCTTTAAAATGAGCCTTATATTTTCAGGATCCCAAAAATGTAAAAGCTTTATCAATTTATTCTTGAAGGCTTTCACAACCTGGGATCCAATGGTTGTCGTAGGTTTTTCAGGCTGTTCGGCCGTGTTCTCACCTGAAATTCTTTTTATATTGCATTAGTCAATCTGTACTTGCAATATGGTCTCTAGTGTCTTATGATTTTCTGAATCTAGCTTGAACCTCAATGCATTTATTGAACGGTATGCACTTATACAATGGAAACAGATTCTTAGGACACAATTCTGTGTGTTCTGAAGCCTTTCATTTTGCCAGGCTGAAGACCTGCTTATGCTTAAATTCCCTTTCCCATCTCCCTTCTTTTATTTTAAGAACTCAGCCATGTAGAGCTAGTCTTTGTGTAGGTGGAAAATGTGGAGTGGGGTATCCTTGCATATCCCGGAAGTACAGTGCTGGGAGATGCCATCTGGCTGCATGCCTCTTTCTTATGTTGATAAGCCTCAAAACAGACTTCCCCAGCCGGACACCCTCTAAAGGGGTTAGACCACAGCACCCATTATCCCCTGCCACCATGGATACTGGCTAAGGATGAGGGAGCTTGTATTCCAACACCTCTGACAGGAGATGGCTGTCCTATAAGAGGCAAGACTTTGTTGGCTGTTTCTCTTCCTTAATTGCCCTCCCCCTTTTCTTTCCTCTGTTTGGTTAGCCGCTTGTCCTCCTTCCACCTACTGACAGCAGAAATTCTTCCTTCTGTGACCTGAGCCGTCATCTCCTCGCCTAATTTATTCTGTGCCCGTGTTGTCTTAATGCTGCACTGAATGAGAAGTTGATACGGTCAGGCTCTGGGGGCCTCGACGCAATAGTAAATTGCAAAGCAGCATTTGAGTCGTGGGGCTGAAGCAATTAATTAATCATGGATCCTGTTTCGAGAAGTGCTCTTCACCTTCTCCCCATCTGTCCTGTCATTTGACCTTGGGTTGATCTTTGGTGCATATTATGTAGTTAAGTTGAGGAACAGCTCAAAGATAAAATGCCCGGAACATTATACAGTACTCCCAGCCTTCTTGGTGTCCCTTGTCTTTCCTATCTGAATGTCTCTTAAAGGTAGATTTAATCAAATTCCACTCGGATATTCAAAGAATTTCAGAGGGGGCACTGCAAGGCTCAATGGCACACCTCCAGCTGCAGTCCTGATGTTTTTCTCCTTGTCTGTTTGACAGCAAACGGCTAGAGGGATTTGAAGCAAACAAAACCCATGCTTTAAATTGGATTTGGACATTTAACTTTGATTGGTCATTGAATTTCAGAATTGCAAAGATTATTATTTTTTTTTTTGCAGAGGGTGAAATGCAAGAAATGGCCTCGAGTACTTTATGCAGCCCATGGTCTTTGTGTCAACCAACCCATGGACACTGACATATAGAGACTAGTTTGCACATATCATATATGACGACATCAAGAGAGGAGGCTAACCTGCAAGGCTCTTAGCACTCCCTTATTTGGGATGAGTGTGTTCATGTAGCCAACTACTGTATACTGAAATAAATAAATAAGACACCAAAGGGAGGCCACCTGTCACACCAAGGAGGATTGTCCTGCCTAGAAGATCATATGTGGACACCTTATCCCGGTGCTAGTTTGGTGTATAGGTATTTGTTGAATCCTTTTTCAGTTTTGGGAAGAAAGGGCGAGAGCGGGGGAGAAAAACAGAATCCCTTCCCACCTTTCAGAGGAAATCAAGGCCCCAAATGGTATGGAGATGTCCAGAAAAGAATGAAGGCAGGCAGATAGAGCTGCAGGGAAATGGTCTTTGAACAAAGAGTCTTGATAACACCCCCCCCCCCAAAAAAAGCTCTGCTCCCGGAGCAATTATTGCTGGGTGAGCTAGATGCATTTATACACAAGGGTCAACGGGAAACCAATATGCCGGGTAGATTTTAATGCAGGCCAGAGGGAGGAACACCTACCCTTTCGGAGTAACCTAGCCACTCAGTGGTCCAGACCGCTAGCCCCCAAGGCCCAGTTCTGCATCTTTTCTTTTCTGTACCCTCAGGGAGAGGAACGGATGAGCTGCCAGCTGAAGCCCTAGTGAGAACTGAAGCCCTTCAAGTATCTAGAAAAGTGCAGCTAAGTTGGGCAGTGTGGCCGGAAGCGAGATCTTTTCCACCAATAGGAGAGGGCTCTTTTGGTCAGACTTGTTGTCAGCGGCCGGGGGGGGGGGGAGAGAGAGAGACCAGAGTGTTCCAGTGGCTTTCAAATAACATCTGAACAGCACTGGTGCTTCAAATTAGCATCAACTGCTGAATACAAAGAATTGCACGGAAAATCTTGTTTTCTTCCAAAATCTTTTCGCCTCGACATTTTCATCCCCTCCTCCCTTGGTTTTCTCACTACTTTCAGCGTTGATTCTTTTCTATATTTTTTCCCCCTGTCTGCTTTTGCTGCAGGCGCATCTCATATCTGGTTTGAGCCTTTTGCCACTGACGTCTCTGTATGGGCGGACAGAGGCATTCATACCTATTAACACCGAGCTGATTTTGCTCGCCAGCCATCGCTCACTGTCTTTACACTTTAGAACACGAGTTCTCCCTCTCCCATCCCCAGAGTTTGATCGGTAATATTTCTCAAAGCACCAGTCAGCTTGTCTTGGCGGATACCAGACTGAGGGAGGGAAAGGAGAGTGATGAGGAAATGATCTGATGATCTACGATCAGCTAAAAGACTTATTTGCTTCTGGGGGACACAAGCAAAAGATCGTCTTTGGCTGGAATAACTGGATGGTTTAGGACCAAGCTTTCCATTAGAGAAAGTTGCCGTTTCGACAGCCGCTCCGAAAATTTCTCCGTTGGCTGTTCTACTTGTGAGATCCAACCTATGTTTAGAACATAGCTGCTTTCCTTGTAAAGCAATTCCCATTCTGTGGTCCTCCAGATGTTTGGGCCTCCCATTTCACAGAGCCAGTGATTTCCAGATGTTTTGGACTTCTGCTGTCAGAATCCTTGACCGTGGGCCATTGGCGGATGAGTCTTTGAAGTCTCAAAAATAAATAAATCTTGTGCTGCAGAGGTGGATAACCACTATTCTGTAATAAGGATCTTCATTTGATTATTGCAGACCGTGAGGGAGGGGGTGGGAGAAGAATGAATAAGTCCAATCCACTCCTTGCCATGAAACCTCTCTTGGGTTCAAAAGCTGGAATTTTCCATCCCTGTGAGCCCTATAGAG